CCCCGGCTGAGAGGCGCGCCCGGGCTGCGGAGTCTCTCAGCGGGGTCCGGGCGAGTCCCTCACCGCGCGCCGGCGAGTAGCCTGGGTCCCGGGAGGGCGGAGCCGAGGCTGAGCTGGACGTGGACGCTGACGTTCTCCCTCCCTCTTGTGCTCTGACTCACCTCTTCCAGGTGTCTGACTTCATCCGCCTCCGCTGCCCGATCTTTCTCCGTTGGAGTCCTCAGCCAAGACCGCTGGTGAGTGGACTGGGGGCCTGGACTACGGGATCCGGGAGAGAAAGTGGCTGGGGCGGGCGTGGCGGAGGGGGGGAGCGGTTAAATATTTTGGGTCTTGGGTCTAAGAGAGGACTGGGCTGGATTCCCGACTCCTAGATCCTGAGAGAAGTATTTAGGAGCTTGGGTTACAAGGAGAGGGCCCCAGACACCTTTGTGCCTGAGAAGTGTGTCCTGGAGCTGGGCTCCTGTGTCTTCGGGGAGCTGCTGTGCAAGGGAGGGCCCCGGGGCGCAAGCAGTTAAAGCCTGTTCTAAAGGCACTTGACACTAGAAGGAGGAAGTTTTATTTCCCTGAGGCTGAAAGAAGCCTTCTGAGCTTCTTAGGGGTGGCAGCTGATACCTGAAACATTTTAGGGCCTGAAGGCAGATCTGGTCCCCAAGAGGCTGGGTACTGGTTTCCTGGGGGTCTTTAGGATGGAAGTAAAAGCTGTAGGTTCTGAAGAATGCAGTTTATTTCTGGCGTGCTCAGGGCCGAGGGCCCAGAGTCCTGAGGTCTGAAGCTGTATGAGCAAAACAGGAGGCCTAGAGATTTCAGTGGAAGGGGCTGGGGCTCTGGACAGCTGAGAATCTGGGAACTGTTTCCCTGGAATTGGGGAACAGGCTGGCTGCGTTCCTGAGGGGTTTGGACTCTGTGGGGGAGGGGACAGGCAGGAGGAAGCATGACTTCCTTTGGGTTGAAGTTCTCCAGATCCAAATTCCCAGGTGGGAGCCAGATCTCCAGCTGGGGGTGTGGGAAGAAGGGTTGCTGCCCAGAGGTCAGCCGGGTCCCAGGGTCCGGTTGGAAGCACTGATCAGTGCTTGCATATGGAGTCTGGACTCTTGAACCTTTGGAGGCTGGAGCTATCTAGGCCCCTTTGTTATGGAAAAAAATCCCCAAAACTCCAAAAATCAGACCAGCGAAAATCCAAGCAGTAACCCAGAGAGAACAAGAATTCAGTTTTATTATGCTGGCAGTCCCAGAAGAGCTAGTGCTCTGAAAATCTGGGCCCTGAGCTTAGGGACAATTTCACTTTTATACCCATGTTGTTACAGTTGGCATGGGTTCATTTACAGATCCCTGAAATTGCTATGGGCTATGGGCAATTACAGATCATAGGATTTTCTATCTAATAAGTACTAAAGTAATATATCTTTCCTAACAAGCAGTAAAGCAATACATCTTTAGGGGAGGATGAGTTCTCAGTTGACCCTGAGATCTCTGGCCTTGCAACAAGCATGTTTACAGAAGCAGAAAAAAGCTGATTAGAAATGTTGGCCAATTAAGAGAGAAATTCCTCTTCACTTTAGGTGGAGGAAGTTGGCTGGGGTGCAGACCTGGGGTACTCAAAAGGAGGAAGTTGAGAGGGAGATGGGGTTGTTAAGAGCTCCTAGAAGACAGGGCCTCTTTCTGACAGTGGGGGAGGCTGGAGAGGGGATGAGTTAGAGCCCAGTCTGGAATGGCAGGGTTGCCGATTCCCTGGGGGAAGGAGGGCAGCCTGGAGTGGGAAGAAAGCTCTGTGATTTTATAAGAGCTGGGTTGGAGAGAGAAAAGGAATGTCCTGACAAGGAGAGAGATAGGGGCCTAGACTCCTGGGTTTTAATGTGGGGGATAGAGGACCCAAGGCCGGAGGGTAGGAGGGACTAGGACCTGGGTGACTGACTCATCTTTATAGGCCTGGGACTGTCCAGTTTGAAAACTGAAAGGCCTGCATCCAGGGATACCCCACAAGCTGGAGTCCAGGTTACTTTGTCCCCTGGGAAGGCAAGGGCTTGGGACCTGGATTCTCATGGTTGGAACTGTCTTAGGACACCTTGTCTCTCCCTGCAGCCATGCCAGTGACGGTGACCCGCACAACCATCACGACCACCACCACGTCGTCATCTTCAGGCCTGGGATCCCCGACCATCCTGGGATCCCCTCGGGCACTGACCCAGCCTTTGGGCCTCCTCCGCCTGCTACAGCTGCTTTCTACCTGCGTGGCCTTCTCGCTGGTAGCCAGCGTGGGCGCATGGGTAGGATTCATGGGTAACTGGTGCATGTTCGCCTGGTGCTTCTGCTTCGCCGTGACCCTCATCATCATCATCGTAGAGTTAGCTGGGCTCCAGCAGCGCTTCCCGCTCTCCTGGCGCAACTTCCCCATCACCTACGCCTGCTACGCCGCCCTCTTCTGCCTCTCGGCCTCTGTCATCTACCCTACAACCTACGTCCAGTTTATGGCTCATGGCCGCTCAAGGGACCACGCCATCGCTGCCATCGCCTTCTCCTGCATCGCGTGTGTGGCTTATGCCACTGAGGTGGCCTGGACCCGGGCCCGGCCCGGTGAGATCACCGGCTACATGGCCACAGTGCCAGGCCTGCTCAAAGTGGTTGAGACCTTCGTGGCCTGCGTCATCTTTGCCTTCATCAGCGACTCCTACCTGTACAAGCACAAGCCAGCTCTGGAGTGGTGTGTGGCTGTCTACGCCATCTGCTTCATCCTGGCAGCCGTGGCCATTTTGCTGAACTTGGGCGACTGCACCAACATGCTTCCCATCCCCTTCCCCAGCTTCCTGTCTGGGCTGGCCCTGCTCTCCGTGCTCTTCTACATCTCCGCCATGATCCTCTGGCCTCTGTACCAGTTCGATGAGAAGCACGGTGGCCAACCCCAGAGGTGGAGGGATGCAAACTGCCGTAGCAGGCACATTGACTCTGTGTGCCCCTGGGACTGCCGCCTGGCTGTGGCCATTTTGACAGCCATCAACCTGCTAGCTTATGTGGCCGACCTGGTGTACTCAGCTCGTCTGGTTTTTGTCAGGGTCTGAGGTGCTGACCAGGAGCTCCTGATTCCTTTTTCTTTCTGGAAGTTTCTTTACTGAGTTCTGATTGCCTTCCTGCCTCCTCTCTCATCTCCGTCCTGTTCTGCTCACTCTTGCCTCTCACGCCTGCTCTCTCTTCTGTTGCTCTGTCTCCTTCTTGTCCTGTTGGTTTGGTTGCCCACATCCTGTTTTGTCTCCATGTTTCCCCCTTTCTCTTTTGATGCTCTTCTTTTCTACTGGGTCTGTTGTCTGGGTCTTTCCTAGCCATCCTGTTTGTTTTCTCATCTGTCTGTTTCCTGATCACCTCTTCCCATTTTCCTTCTTCTGATTTCCTTAGGATCCCTGAGACTTCTCTGCTCTCCCTCCTCAACCACCATCACACCAAAGGTGCTGAGCTCCACACCCCACACCCCTCTATGCAGCTGTTCAGACCCTGGGCCTCCTGACTGGGCCTCATTGCCAAAGCATGCCTGCCCACCCTGGCTGTGCCTTAGTAGGTGTGTGTGTCTGTGTGTGCGGTGGGGAGGGGGGGGGAGGCGGGTAGCTAGGGATTGGACCCCCTTTCTCTCAGTGGAGGGGACTGTACAGTGTACCTCCTCTTGAAGTTAAAAAAAAATTCCCTGGAGATCAGTCATTTCCAGGGGGCACAGACCTCGGGTCTCTAGGCCCCTGCTGGCACTCAGCCTCATCTGAGAGGTTGGCTCCTGAATTTCGGCTTACTAAAAACCCACTGCCTAGAGGCCACTGTAAAGGCAGCAAAGGGTAGTGGATGCCTCCCACCCCAACTCTCTGGGATATCAGAGGAGCTGGCAAAGAACCAGAAGGGGCAGTGATATGGCCCTCTAGCTTCAGGGTTTAAACTAGCAGGTACTGCCTTTGCAGGGAGCAGAAAATGGCTGCTGCTGGCCTTAAAGGGAATGTTAGGTTGGGTTTTTTTTCTTTTTTTCCAGGGCAAACATTATTAGGTGGTCCTATTCTTAAAAGGGAGGTTTCTTTTCAAATTTTTTAAATTTGTGGGTGGATTGGGTAGGTACATAGAGGAATTGCATTGCTTGAGTGTGGGATAACACACATGCATGTTTCTGTGTGCTAGTTGCTTCCTCCTGCTGCTTCCTGCTTCTCTGGGACTCACATGCATAACATGATATATATATAAATGTATAAATATATTATTTTTTTTAATTCCCTGGAGCTTCTGATTCCCATCAGCCCCCGCTGTCAATCATAGACTGAAGCCTTGTCCCTTCTCCACTCCCACACCCATATTTTTTTTTAACCTTATATAAAGATAAAAGGAAGACCTGTGCTTTATTATTGGGGAGGGCTCCAGGAAAGAAGGCAAGGCCCAGATTCCTGGGTCTAGTGGGAGAAGGGGACTGAGGCCAAGCCAAGTTTGACCTCATCAGAAAATACTAGCTGAGTCTGGCTGGATCTTCTAAACAACTCTCAAACCAGGAGAGCTGGTGAAGATGAAATGAACAAGATTTCTCCCTCCTTAGAGTCTCATGAGCATGTCAGAAACATAGTGTCCCAATATGAGTGCAGCATCTTTCCTCCAAAATCAACTCTTCCAGGTTCCGCATCTCAGTAAAAGCCTCTTGGGGCTGAGAGCCCAGGCACTTGTTCTTACCAGCTCCTCTCCTGTCAGTCACTCATCAAACACTGTCTTTTCTTCCTCCTAAAGGCTATATCTGTCCCCTTCTCCAGGTTCCTAACCTAGCTTGGGTTTCACGCTTTCACCTGAGCTGTTGCCCCAGCCTCCTTGGATCACCCTACCTCCAGCCTAGAGGGTGCTTCCAACATCCAGGTCTGATCCTGCCGTCCCCTACTCACATCCTTCCGTATCCCATCCCACCTGGCCTATAGGTAATACCAAAGCCCTTCAGTGGGCATTCAAAGCCTTTACCATCCAACCCTGCCTACATTCCCACTCTCAGTTCTAAGCTCCCTGTCAAATCTGGTCAATAGGGGAGCAAATGAATTGGTAAAGATCAAATGAATTAATTCGTGCAATGAGTGTCTGTCCCACAGAAGGTCATCTTGCCAGTTTCTCCAGCCTGAGAATCATAAATATGTAAATCCCGGGAAATTCCAGGATCATACCACCCATTTTCTGCACCTACACTCAAAAACAGGAAGAAAAATTGCAAAGGGAGGGAGGGGTCCCTCCGGAAGAGGGGGAAGGGCTAATCAGAAGAGGTAAGCACTCTGTTTTGGTGAGGAAGAGACTCCTCTGGATCTCAGCAACTGTGCACCCCAGGATTCTGACCACCAACCCCCGCCTCCGCAAAGGGCGTGTCCTCCTGTCTCTCCCTGCCCCCATCCAGTGCTTGAACCCCTTCTGGAAGGCTCCAGAGAGGACCGCTCTAGAACCCGGGGGTGAAACGCTGGGGACGGGGAAGAGACCCAGGACTGGCGGAGCAGAGCGCGGTGGGATTCTGAGGTCAGTTTTTCCGGGCCACCGCCGCCCCCTATCTGCGCTGGGGCGCGGCGGACGCCTGGAGGTGGCTCGAAGGTCAGAAGGCCCCATGTTTGGGGGTTAGGAGAAGACTCGGATTCTCTCACCTCCCTATCGGCTTACGGAAGCCCAACTCCGACCCCGAAAAGTCCTCAAGAAGGTGTGGCGGGCGTCCCGAGTCCCCTGGCGGCGCCCCGGGGCATGCAGGGACAGGGCGGCCCAGCAGTTCGCACTACAAGTCCCGGCGTGCACTGCGCCCCGCAGCCGGGGGCGGGCCTGGTTGCCTTTGGCAACAGCGGGTCTCCCTGAGCGAGCCTTTGGAAGTGCCCCCGAGCTGGTGGGGGTGGGGTGGGGCGGAACACTACCTGAGACCCGCAGAGGCAGTGGCGGAGCGACGGAGGGGCCACAGGCGGAGACACGCAGGACCGCAGTTCGGAGAGACCCTCAGAGAACTCCGGAGCGAGAGCGGGAAAGGCACTGAATCACAGGGAGACGTGGAGGGAAGGAGAAACGCCCAGAAACAGAGATTCATAGAGCCAGAGACGAATAGAGAGAGGGTGGGAAAACGACAAAAGGGCAGGGGGGAGGGAGAGAGACTCTCAGCAAAGGGGAGAGATTGACAGTCAGTGGATCAGGAGAGGGACAGAGAGTTTAGGAGGAAGGGGCAAGCAGAGAATCAGCGACAGAGACAAAAGCATTTACAAAGACAAGGACACAGGGAGAGACAGCAAGAATTTAGAGAGCCCCCAGAAAAAGAGGGAGACATCAAGATCTAAGGAAGGGTTGTGACACCAAGACCCAGAGAATCAGACACAGATGGGAGAAAACAGAAATTCTCAGAGGCAAGGAAATGAAAACCCACCCACCCAAAGACAAAAACAGAGAAGGCAGAGCGGGCGGGGGGGGGGCTACTTAAGGAATACAGGGAGAGGAACAGCGACCAGGAGAAGAGACTCTCCGAGAGGGAGACATAGTCATAGGAATGCACAGAGGCCCTGAGAGAGACGTCAAGAGGGGTGGCAGCAGAGAAAAGTGAGACACCAAGCCTCCCTGTTCACCACTGGATCCCAGCACTCAATACAAAGTTTGTGGGTTAAAACAGAGAGACACAGTCAGAGACACAGAGACCTAGTGGAGCCACAGTGGGCTACCGGGAGCCACCGAGACACCTGAGTGGGGTTGGAAGGCAAGCCAGGTGACAAATTGGGGTGGGGGACAGCGCGGCTCCGAGGATGCCGCCTCCCTCTAGCCAGCCCCAGGAAGGGATGCGCGCACGTGCAGAGCAAGTTGAAATCTTGTTTTCACTTGGCACATCTAGTATATTCTTTTACAAAAAGTTTGTGTGTGTGTGTGTGTGTGTGTGTGTCGGGGGAGGGGGGTGGTAGGAGGAGGACATTCGTCTCGTGTTCCGGGAGGGGGACGCCTTTAAGCCGAATCCCCGCCCCTCGGTCGTCATGGTAACGCCTCCCCCCAACCCGGGGCTCCCACATTTCAGCAGGTGCTGGAGCCCGAGCTCCCACCACCGCCGCGGTGCCTCCGGCTGCTCGTGCCCCTACCCTGGGCTCTGTGCCCCACTCGCCCGCTCCCCCTGGGCGCGCCCGGGGGCCCTGCCTGCCCCTCACCCTCGCTCCTGGAGGTGCCTCGCCCCTCTCCTCCACTTCTCGGGATCTCCCAGTGGTTCCTCTGCTCTCCGACTCTCCAGCTCCTCGCTCTTCCACCTGTTTCCCCAGAAAGGCAGGATCCTGGTCCCTGCGACGTTTCTGGGGCCATGGCAGGCCTGGGCCCCGGCGGCGGCGATTCAGAGGGGGGCCCCCGGCCCCTATTTTGCAGAAAGGGGGCTCTGAGGCAGAAGGTGGTCCACGAAGTCAAGAGCCACAAGTTCACCGCTCGCTTCTTCAAGCAGCCAACCTTCTGCAGCCACTGCACCGACTTCATCTGGTGAGGGAAGGGGGCTGGGGGCCAGAGGGATGAGGAGACCAGGTTGGAGACCCCTGTCACACCAGATTCCCAAGTAATGAAAAAGAGGGAGCCTTAGTCTCTTAGTCCTAGAGTAGGAGGGGGCTGAGACCTGGACTCCTGGGTCTAGGGGAGGAAGGGCAGGGGGCCCAGACGTATGGGTCTGAGGAAGGATGCGTTGGGGGCCAGAATTTCTGGGTTCTAGAAAGAGGAGGCAGATGGGCTTAGACTCCTGACTCCTGCGGGAGGAGGGTCAGAGGCCTCCAGCGGCTCGCAGATGTGAGGGCTCCAGGTACCCTCTTCTGCACTGACCTCTGGTCCTTCTGCAGGGGGATTGGAAAACAGGGCCTGCAATGTCAAGGTAAGAGCTGGGGACCTGGACTCCTGGGACCCTTAGGAGGGTGGAGGCTGGGGCGCCACAGCTGAGGCTGCTTGACACACGTGTTCTCTGGTCCCCAGAGAGGCGCGGGGGAGCCCGGGGCGGGGGGTGTGGCAGAGACACAGGCTGTGGTGGGGAGGCAGCTCTGGTAGTGGGGCCGCGCGGAGGTGGTGCTGGGGGCCCCTCCCTTGGCCGGCTCCAGGTGGGGACAGATATTTGGAGAATCTGTTGCCATGGGAACAGGGAGATTTGGAAAAGGGGAGCTGAAGGGGGTGCTGAAGATGCAAGTCAGAGCCCCTCCCAGGCTGCCATCACCATGACAACATCGACCATCCTAGGCAGGGGCAGGAGGGGTGGGGTCAGCGATGGGCGGGTGGGGGCCTGGCAGGCCGGCAGAGCGGGGAGAGCGGAAGAGGGGGTTGAGTCCTAAAGCACCAGCTGCCACTGCTGAGAACAGAGTGAGTCAGGAAGGGGGGCGGCTGGCCACGGCGCCCCCAGACTCACTTCTGCCCAAGTTTCTGCTCTCTGTTTTGGCGGAGGATATCCCTCAGTGCTTTCTCTCTTTCCATCTGCCTGCCTCTCTCCTCATATTCTTATCTCTGTCTGCCAACCTGTGTCTGTCAGTAGGATCCTATTTTCTCTCTGTCTCTGTCTTTTTGTCTCTCCCTGTCTCTGTCTCCCTTTGGCTGTGGGTATGCACTGGGTTCTCTGTGCTCTGTGTTTCTCTGTATTCTGTGCATCTCTGTTTCTGTCTTTGGGTCCATCTCTTGAATTTCCATCTCCTGGCTTCTCTGTCTCTCTGCATGAGAAGCCTCTCCCTTGATTTTCTGTCAGTCGCTCTCTCTCCAGTTTTCTTTCTGTTGGGGTCTCTGTCTGTGGCTCTATGATTCTCACCTTCAGTCTGCAGTTTTGTGGTTCATCGGCGATGCCACGAATTTGTGACCTTCGAGTGTCCAGGCGCTGGGAAGGGCCCCCAGACGGACGTGAGTGCCCAGACACCTGGTTTTTCCTCCTCGGGCCACGCCCCCGCCCTCACCCCCTCGGCGTCCGTCCCAATTTCTCCTGCTATTTTTAAGGCTAGGAGGAGAGGGGGGCTGGAGAGATAGGGGGAGCTAGTCTGGCCCAGATTCCCCTGCCCTTGGCCTGGAAAGGGGGAATCAGGGGACTGAAACAGGCTGGGGACACAGGTGGGGACAGAGGAGGCAGGGGCAAAGGGACCAAAGACTGGCACTGGAGGGAGTGGGCTGTGAACAAGTGCTCAAGAGATTTAAAAACAGAACTGAGGGACAGAGGGAGAGAGAGAAATATCGATGCAGGCACTGAGATCCCGAGATAAGAGGATGGGGAATCTCAAAGATACAGAAAAAGATAGAGACCCAGAGAGAGAGAGAGAGAGAGAGAGGAATAGGGATGGGACAGAGACAGCAACAGCAACACAGGAGGAAGGAAAGGGGACCTGGAGAGACTGAGAGACAGATAGACAGAGACAGAGACACTCAGAGAGACAGAGGTGTAGATATCTGGGAGAGACTAGAATAGAAAATGGTGGATATGGAAACAGCAGAGGTGCTGAGAGAGGGAGGACCAGAGAGATCTTGCAATACACATGCACACACACGTGCATATACAGATCCCATGTGCACACATATGTGCATATACAGATCCCCACATGCACACACATGAATGTGCAGATCCCCATGCGCGTACACACACAATTTCTCTCTTCCTATCCCTCCAATCAGGGCTTACAAAAACAGCCCACCCCTGACCCTTCCTTCACTTTCTGTCTGGCTGTGGGGCTCTTTTCTCTGAGCCTCAGTCTCTGCCCCCCCCCACACACACACCTCCCTATAAAGTGTGGCTGATGGTCTGTATTGACCCACACAGCCTTCTGCAGTGATGGAAGTTTTCTGTATCTGCCTGTCCAATACGGAAGCAACCAGCCACACAGCTAGAGAGCACTTGAAAGGGGCTGCTGTGACTGAAGGGCAGAAATCTAAATTCCATTTAATTTGCATTGATTTAAACTTAACAGCCACATGTGGGTTGTGGCTACTGTTTGGGACAGCATAAATCTAGACATCCTAGGCTTGTTTTCATAGTTCAATAAAGTCAGGTGGGTTAAGAGTGTAACCCAGGGTTTGGCACAGGGGTGGAGATGGTTTTATAATTACTAGATAAAGAGAGAGAGGTGGGGGGAGGGGAAG